AGGGCCCCCTCACATGAACCATGATGATCCCAGCCTGGTGCCAAATGTTCCCTACTTCGATCTTCCTGCTGGCCTGATGGCTCCACTTGTCAAAGTAAGTGCTTGCTGTGGGACTGATCCAAACCAAGGCACTGGTGGGATTAAAGCACCCAAAAGCCCTTGTTGTTAGCAGGGACAGTTCAGCAGTGATGTGTATGATTTCTAATCCTCCCATCCCACAACCGGTTGTGTAGGGTATAAGAGCAGGAGTACCTTGGGGACCTAGGTAGTGAAAATGGTGAGAATTTTCGTGTGTTGTGTGCTAGGGGAAGCTGGTTGAACTCACAGGGTGAAAGAGTAATTTGTACTTGAAAGTCTGACCCCTCTTTGTAGGAAATGGAAATCCCCAGTGATTTCCAGCGGCCAGAGAGCCCTCTCAGATCTGATGGGGCCACTGTACTAGTTCTTCATAATCAGAATTCTCTTGAAGATGTTTTACAGTATCAATGTTATATATATGAAGAAGGATAGAGAACAGGAAACACACCTGTATCAGCATCTTCAGAGATGTTTACATTTATGTATTCTGTGTTTGAGATGAACAAATAAGCCTCTTCCATCTCTTTGTGTTATTCTTGTACACCAGTTTGTGCCAGGCTTCCACCCAGACACATTAGCACAAAGGTGGATGAGATCTGCATTTCATCTACCTGGTGACCCACTTAATTCTTCAACCTATACTTAATTCTTCAACCTGTGCAGTGCAGGCTTTTCTCAGAGAACTCACAACAGTGATAGCACAAGGAACATTGGTTCGTCTGCAAAATCCTTGTTTCCAGATCATTTTTTATCCAGTATTGAGATTTGAGATCTCTAGCCAGCTAAATCTGTATTTAACTCTTCAGGCAGCCACCCCGTGACACATGACACAAATGTAATTTGTTTTGTTTCTGGCAGCTTGAAGATCACGAGTATAAACCTTTAGATCCTAAAGATATACGTCTTCCACCTCCAATGCCCCCCAGTGAGAGACTTCTGGCTGCAGTTGAGGCATTTTATAGTCCACCATCTCATGACAGGCCTAGAAACAGGTAAGAGTAGGTGTAGCCAATAAAATGGTAAGGAAAATGCTCTAAGAAAGTGCCTCAAATCACAAAGTGCCTCCCTCTCTTTTGCCCGTGTTTGGTTCTCCTAATGCTCTTGTTGTATTGCAGCTGCACTTGCTGTTTGATCTTGTACTGAGATTTGTGAGACAGTTTTTCCCAGACCCTTTGTTCTGTACAAAATCCTGTGAAAATCCTTAAGGTCACAATTGAAGTGGAATTGACACGTGTGGGTTCTGTGTGGTTGATCTGTTGCAGTGAAGGATGGGAGCAGAACGGACTCTACGAATTCTTCAGAGCTAAAATGAGAGCAAGGCGGAGGAAAGGTCAGGAGAAGAGAAATAGGTGAGAGCTGCTCTGTGCCACCTTCTGCTCTGGGCTGTTCATCTGGAAGGTGCTCGGGCTAAATGCGGAGGGAAAGTCTGTTCAGCAACGTGCTGATGGAACAATGAGTTCCAGTGTGCTGGAATTTCTGTCTATTCTGCAGAAAATGGACACAGCACAGGTGCCCAGAGCAGCTGTGGGTGCCCCATCCTGGGAAGTGCCCAAGGCCAGGCTAAACAGGGCTTGGGGTAACCTGGTCTTGAGAGGGTGTCCCTGCCCAATGGCAGGGGTTGGAACTGGATGAGTTTTAAGGTCTCCTCCAACCCAAACCCATTTGTGATTCTGTGAAACAGTTTTTTACACTCGGGCTTTCACTTTCACTGCAGAAGTAATGCTTGCGTGTAATTTGAATTGGATCAGGGGTAGATTTGTGTTTCTGGTGCTTCTCCGTGGAATGTGACTGGAGTTTTCCTGCTCCTTTGTGCAGTGGGCCCTCTCGGTCTCGCAGTCGGTCCAAAAGCCGAGGCCGTTCATCCTCTCGGTCTCACTCACGCTCTTCAAAATCCTCTGGCTCCTACTCGAGGTCGCGCTCCCGCTCTTGCTCTCGGTCGCGATCCTACTCTCGCTCCCAGTCCAGGTAGGGCACGGGGGGCTGAACCTTGGGAAAACCCCAACCTGGAGGCAGATCCAAGGATCCTGGGGGGTTTCTCTGCTAACCTGTGTGCTCTGTGTCCCTTTCAGGAGCCGGAGCAGGTCCCGCTCCTCCCACAGCCGCTCGCGGTCCCGGTCGCGGTCTCGCTCCAAGTCGTACTCCCCGGGCCGGCGGCGCCGCTCCCGCTCCCGCAGCCCCACTCCTCCGTAAGCTCTGCCTCGCTCCTGGCTCCCCGTACCTGCCCGGGCTGTTTGAACACAGCGCCTGCAGGGGGATAATTAGCATAATCGCCCTCCGGGGATAATTAGCATTTCATCAAAGAGCAGAGAAGATGATGGAGGGCAGATCTAGAAACAATTTATGTGCTATATGTGTTTGTAGAGAGATTATTGCTCTGTTGTGGTGGCTTTTTATTTTAACAAAACTGCATGCAGAAGTGAAAACTGCAGAAGTGTGAAGTCTGTGTATGCCTTCCTTGGGAGCAGGAGTAATTCTCTCTGTGTTTGATTTCCCTTGTGCTGAGAAGCAGGTGATGTGTTTCTGGCACCTCAATAACTGCATCATCTGATGGCTGGAGTAAAGAATAGTTCAGTAGAATGGATAGAATTGTGTTGGATGTTAATGCTTAACAGACTAGAACTGTGTTTTGTGTCAGAATAGTATCACTGGTTCTTAATTTGTTCTTATTTTTCTTAGTTCTTCTGCTGGTTTGGGCTCCAGTTCTGGGCCTCCTATACCAGAATCGAGACTTGGAGAAGAAAATAAAGGCCATCAAATGCTAGTGAAAATGGGTAAGAGGCTGTTCTAGAATCTTACACAAGCCAGGAAACAAAATTAGACACCAAAGTCTTAGATGTAATTAATTAATGCATGTTCATACGGAATTATTCCTTTGCATTCCAAGGTCAGCATAAGAATATTCAGAGGTGTAAGTATATGGAGCAGTGATGGTTGCTTTTCTGAGAAAGATACAGAAGACAGGGCTGAGTTTGGCATCAGACAGAACTGACCCTACCTGAAGTATTTAATCTCCCAACAGTGCAGGTCAGCAGAGTTGACTGGACAGATTGGACTTGCAGTGTCTTTCTTCTTATCCTCCTAACAGTTTTTAGGGATGCTGCTGCTGTCAGCTCCTAGAATCTCTGCATATTAATGCTTGTGAAATAAATGGGACAGTTCATGAGTTGTTTCAGGTTGTCTGTTCCCATCCTGCTTTATCAAACTGATGCTGTCTTTGGTTGTTTCCAAAATGTCCGTGTTTGTCTTCACAACTGTAGCCATAAAAAACCAGTGAAAGGATTGCAATGTTGTGTCCTTGCTGCAGGATGGAGTGGATCTGGTGGATTGGGAGCCAAGGAGCAAGGAATTCAAGATCCAATTAAAGGAGGTGACATCCGAGACAAGTGGGATCAGTACAAAGGAGTGGGAGTTGCATTGGACGACCCTTACGAGAACTACAGAAGAAATAAAAGTTACTCATTTATCGCACGCATGAAGGCCAGGGATGAATGTAAGTGAACATTTCTCAGCAATTTAGAAACTCCTGTGGACTTGAAAGTGATTTTTGTAAACCCAAATCAAAATAGCAGTAGCTCTTAATTTTTTCTAATGTAACCAATACAGTAAAACAACAGGTAAGTGGATGTGTACTCTGATTAACCCAGCAGGTTTTCCTTTTTAGGCATTGTGGTTGTGTTTTAATTTCTGAAAGGTTAATTAATAAGTGTGTTCTATGCAAGTCATTTCCTGGCTGCAATACTGAGCACCTGCATCTTTAATATTGCCCCACAAGAACTTGGAACAGTCACAGAGTCAGTGGAGGGGGAGCTGTGCCACACAAGGGACAGCTGCCACAGCAGGGAGGAACCAAGGTTGGGACCAAGTTAGGCCACACTCACTGTTTACCCCTGCCCTATTCAGAGTTTTCCACCATTATTATCACATTCTGCCAAAGCCAGAATTGGTAATAAATTCCCTGTAGTGCAGGAAGGGTTCAGAAAAAGACAATTACCCAAATGATAGATTTTTGCAGAGTCTGTGATGCATTGAACATTGGCTAGAAGGAAAAAGCTGGCATGCTCAATGAAATGTCACTTGTGCCTCCAGATCTGTGCAAATCAAATGGGTTCAAATAAAGCCCATAAGGAAAAATTCCTTCTTAACAGAACCCTCATTCCACCAAACACTTCAGACAGCTTAGGAAGCTGCAGAATACGTAAGAACTCTTGTCCCTGTTGTTTCAGTGAAGTGTGAAACACAAGACCCTTCACCACCTGAGTGAGACTCTCTGAAGAAAGGTGTCTTGCATCTTCTGCAAAACATTAAACTTTTAAAAATCCTGATTAAAGTCTGGATGAAGTGACAAATGAATTCTTTTAAAACTATGGTGAAAAATTGAAAGCTAGGACATGTACTTCAGTACTTCTCAATTAGTGCTTAAAAAAGGCCAGTTGTTACTATGACATGTCTAGCAAGTTTAAAAATTCCCACTTATCTTGCAAAACTTTCTAATTATTCCCCATTTTCCAGCAGAATTAAACCCCACTCAAGCTGTTCCTGGTGCAGCACTGTGCCTCATTCATTGCTGTGCAGCAGACATTATGTGATGTGCTTGTGTGTTCTCTAGTTCCATAATATATATTTATTTCTCTCAAAAGGTTAATTCTGTTTGAAGTGGAGGGGTGCTGCCTTGGGATCAAGTCAGACTGATGCTGAGCAGTGTATCCTAATGCCTAAATGGGGAATGAAGCATCTAGTTCCAGTGCAGGTGACCTCTGAGCACTGTGCCAGCTTCTAGAACCTTCCACTCGCCTCCAGGCCCTGCCCAGCAGCTGCTGCAGCCACCTCGGGGCAGGAGACAAGGGGCAGTTCTCTGGTAGCTTTCCCAGCACTCTGAGGGATGGGCAATGCTTTGTAATGGAACACAGTCTTTGAGCTTTTTCTATTTTTGTATATACCCTTTAATAAAAGCTAATTAGTTCAATAGAAGAGAATCCATTTTCTCTGCTCTACACGTTTCTATCAACGAGAAACTTGGAAACTTGCTGTAATCTAAATGAAAAATGAAACAAATCTTTTGTAACTGTTCCCAGAGAGCACCAGCTAGAGCTGTTAGGCCCTTACACTGCACTTCCACTCCCAGGTCTGCGTGGTGGTTCCCTGTTCCAGTTGTTTGTTTGTAGAGCAAAAACCCTCATAAAACCATCCAGTTAATATGGTGGAGTATCAGTTTGTTCTAGATCTGCTGTAGTTGTGGAACTGTACCTGTCTGTGAATCAGCATACAACACCTGTATGTTACCAACTTGTGAACGTTGTTGTTTTGCCTTCCAATAAACAATTTTTTTAAAAATAAAAATGCAGCTGAGATTTCCTGTACCTTGATGCAAGCCTTCCTTGTTTTGAATTATCTTAATGAACACACCCAAGTGGGTGTTGGGGTTTGTTGTAGCCTGACAAGGCTGATTATACAGAAACACTGTTTGGGTAATGGCACTGAAGTCAGGATATGGTAATTTTCTGCTGTGGTTGTGTTCTCAGGCTCTAGTACAGACTTTCACTTGTGCCACCATCACAGATGAGATCACAGATCTCACAATGCACTGGATAAATGTGTGCACTGTGATGACTTATCAGAGTCCCATGAGATACAAGTGTTGTCTTGATGTCTCTTCTGCTGACATAGTCTGGCTGAAGGTTCCTGTGTATCTCTGTATTGTGTACACAAAACATTCAGGTATAGAAAAGTAAATTATATACAATAATTAGCACCTTGTACTAACTAATTTATACTAACATAGCAGTTTGTATGAATTCTTCCAACACAGTTTATCATCTTTTATCTGTGCAACGTGGAAGGTTTCTTGTTTCAGCCTTAGCCCTGTGAATACAAATGTCACTTGAAGTGCAATAACTGTCCAAGCAGTTCCTCCTGGCTTCTCTCCGAATTTCTTCAAGTGCTTGCTCAATTGTTAGAGGTGGGGATTTGTGATTCCTGATGTACTGCAAAAAGAAAAAAAGTTAATAAGCTAATGTCTTCATTATGTAGATTATTATTTATTAAACATTACAACTAATCTTCATGTCAAGATACCTGCAGGTTTCTGTACCAGCAACAGGAAGTGACCCTTCTGTTGCAGCATCTGAATGATCCCTGCTCATTTGAGGGATCAAATGCTACAGCAGAAACCTTAATCTTTAAAAACTATGGCCTCCTGCAGGACGTCAGTCCTTTTTTTCCTTTTTAAACTTATTAATTATTCATATGCAGAGAAACTAGGTTTGCTGTAAATACCACAAGCGTTTGGAAAGGAACACAGGCTCACTCTGGTTTGTCACAAATACCTCTTTAGCCTCTTCCAGGGTATGGTAGCGAAACTTCTCATGCTCCAAGGACTCCACGAGGACTGTGTGAAGGTGCTGAACGTTCTGGACAAACTGCTGGGTCAGCATCAGGTGCTGCTTGCACAGGGTGTGTAAGAGCAGAGCCGAGGGGCTGTACGCGCTCAGGGCTGCGAGAGGGGACAGGGTGCACTGCTCTGAGGCACGGCTGGCAGCAAGGGCTCAGCAAACCAAGCTGGGCTCAGGTGCAGAGAACACAGGGAAAAAGGAGAATAAATGTGGTTTTGGTACCTTCTACTGCATCCGGGCTGATGGTGTGACTGGCAGTTGGCACTGGGTCAATGCAGCTGGTGCCGACGGGCGGGGCGAGCGCTGCAGCGGGGAGTGCTGCCAGAGGAGAGCACAGAATTACTGCCTGGGGCAGGGGGAAGGTGCAGTGCTACTGCTTGGTGCTTCTTGGGACAGCAGCTGCCCTGAAAGCACACTACAGCCAAACAGGAGAATGCTGTCAGCCAAAAATGTGTTGACATAGTTATACAATTTCTACAGTTTCTTTACTCTTAGGCTCACAACACCACTGAAGAAGGCACCTTTTTTAACCCTAGGGAGAGTAAAAATAAAAGACTTTTGTACTCAATGCTTCTGTTTTCAAGTTTCTCCTTTCTCCTCGAGTGTGGCAAGGAATGGTGGCTCTCAGCACTTTTTCCTTTTAGTAAAGGATGTAGGCAGGGAGCTACCCCTCAGGATGTGAAAGCTCCTATCTGAGCCTGTCGTGGGGCTATAATGCTTTCCCAAAAGAATTCTAGGAATGAGCAATCACTTCAGTAACATTACTAATACCAGCACTAATAATGCTAGTTTTAAATAGTAAAGATACCAGAATATTGAATTTCATTTGAGAGTACTACTTGTGCCGTTGTGAGCTCTGTCACTAACACTTGCTCATCCAGCCTCAGGTCCTATGGGGAGTGTTTTTAAGCAAAAACCATTCCTTATTATGATATTCAATATTATTATGATACTCAATCCTAGTCTTTCCTGTAGACAGCAGATTAAAGCACTGGCCTTTAGAAAATTTTTTATTTAGCACTAGTGAGAGGAAGCTGTCACTGAAGTGAAGAAGTGTTACTGTTTAGTAAGAAATTATATAAAGTCATCAGAAGGTTGAGTGGTATATATATTTTTATTTATTTATATAAATATATATGTGTATGTGTATATATATATATGGTGCTCATTTATTCCAGACTGCTCCTTTTTAATCACTGTTCCAGTACATATGGACTGGACTACTTATTTAGTTAACACATTTCACCTGATTACCTAATTAACAAGATGCTCTTTCATAACAATCTTTGGGAATAAGAAAACAGACAGTAGGAAAAGCAATACCTGTAGGTTGTTTTTGATAATTGTTATCATTGTTTATCTCCAGCCCCCTAAAGTCTCCCAGGCTGATTCTGGGAAAACTTACCTGGTTTTCTCACTCTCTGACCAGGCTGTCACATCCACAAAGAAGTCCCTCAAGGCTGACTGGGCTGGCACATATGGAAGTGTAAAACTCACCTGAGCAGGGCAGTGGGAGGTGCACTCACCCTTTGCCCAGCAGGAGCTGCAGGGAGGCTCTGCTGTCTGGACTGCAGCTTCTGTGACACTCACTTGGTGGCCCGGGCTGTGCTGCTCTGGGGGTGGCCCTGAGCATGGGTGTGCTCCAGAGCAGCTGCAGCCCTCAGCACGTCCCTCTTCCCCGTCTGCTGCAGACTGAGACCCTGCAAAGTCTTCAGAATATTCTGAATTAAGAGTACTCTCATTCTGATTAGGATAATCCTGTTTGTGTGGAGGGAAATCTGAGGAAACTCCACTTAAATGTTCAGAGATTTCAGCTTCGGACACACATTTTTCAACTTCTTCTGCAGAAGAATCACTCCCAGCAGTTATTGCACTGGTCATTTTTACAGCAGCCTGCTCCTCTTCCACCTGCAATGCATCTTTTTTCACATATTTGTTTGATTCTTGAGTAAACTGAATGTCTTCTCCCTGTAAAAGTATTTATTTTAGAACTTCCACGCTCCACCAAAGGCAGACTGGGAATATGTGCTAGTGGGGAATTTCTACTCACTTTCTGCTTTAATTCTGCTGCCTTACTGGTGGTATCTGGTGCCAAATCATCAAGGCTCATGATATTCAGCCCAAAGTCTGCAAACAAATGACACCTACATGAGAATTTGCATGAAAATTACAGTACACTTTCCTGTAAGTGAGAAAAGTGGGGGAAAAAAATCAGTACTACCTTCCTAGTTCAGTACTAAAAAGTAACAGCAATGAGTCACTGATTCTTTAACTTCACAGAAACTCCTAAAATTTCCTCCTTTGATCAGCTGACGTTCCTGAAGTTCAAGAGATTTTTGCTGCCCCTCATTTCCAGCTGTTCTCACTCTGACCCACTGGTACATTGTGCCACTGATACAGGAAAACTACTTTAAATATTCTAATTGTTTTGGCATCATAATTTCACCCAGGCAGCATCATTAATATGAACCCATTAAGTCAAAAGCTAAGAAAAATACAAACCTATTACACTAGAAAAATGAAACAGATCTAGATAATTACTTTGATCAGGCCTTGGTTTGTGTAAAATTTCACTGGTGAATCCTTTCAAAGTGACTATTTGCCCATGTTCATTAAGATAATTTATCAGGAGATCATCAGTACAATTGATACTGAGTCTACTGAGACAATATTGTAGAAAACTTACATTTCAAACTGCTGCTGGATGGATCTTCTGCATCAGTTCCTTCAGAAAATAATTCATCTAATGACTTTATTTCACTTCTGACACTTTCAAGGGATTCTTGGATTTGCTTGGTGCAGCCTGCTTTAGGCAGAGCACTCTTTGCAGTGCTGTCTTGCATGGAAGATGACAGCAGTCGAGGTCTCGTGGGATGTCCTGACAGGTTTCTGCTGGTGGGTGAGGGTGCTGGTGAATTAACTCTACCAGACACACTTTCCTCTGAGTCTTTGTTGTGAGAAGAAGATGCTTTAGATAACTCTGCTGATGAAACTTCCTTACGAGGTGGAGGAGCCTTTCCTGATGGAGCTGGAGTCTTACTCTTTTTGGAGAACACAAAAAAGAGATTTATGTGTTACTTCATTGTTATATGTAGATTGCTAAAGGGAGAATAAATCATTGTGGGTAAAATAGAGCAATTTTAATATGTGAACCTGAATCCTACTATGAGCAAGACACAAATGCAAATTTAAAATTTAGTTGCTAGTGTTATCTAAGTAAAAAACAATCAATCAATTAAAACAATCATACGAAAGCATTAATAAATACATAATCCAGCAAAGTTTGTATTTACCATTCTGCCTTACTGAGCATCACTCACCAGAACCTTCTGATTCCCACTTCCACTGGAAAGCCCCAACGAGCTCTCCATCAATTCCCTCATTTCCTCTTCATCACTATCCAGATCAAGCTGTTGTTTAACCACAACACTCCTTTCAGGGCTTGGCGTGCTCTCCTCTTCCCCAGAACAGGCATCCCTGCGGGTCCCGTTCCCACCGGTGGCACCATAATTCTTCCAGTACCTCCTGCCCTTGGCACCACCCTCACGCCCAGAGGCAGAGGAGGTGCACCCCAGGCCCGAGTCGGTGTTGTGCAATTCCAGGCGCTTTTTCTGACCCATGATTTTGCTTTCCAGCTGCGCCACTTTGCTCAGGACGGCGCTCAGGCGCGCGTGGGCGGCGCTGCCCGGAGCGCTCCCCGCCCGCACGGCGCTCCGCGGCCGCACCGCCCCGGCTGTTCCCTCGCACGGCTTCAGGAACCGCAGGTGCGACGGAGCGCCTCCAGCGCTCCCCAGCTCCGTGTCCAGCGCCGTCAGGTCACCGCGGGGCGCATGGCTGCGGCCCTGCCAAAAATCAGAGTTATTTGCCTTAGGGAAGACCCGACATCAACTTGTGGCTGACCCGCACGTCGCTAACCAAAGCACCGAGTGCCACATCCAGACTTTCCTTAAACATCTCCGGGAGCGGTGACTCCACGGGCAGCCCCTTCCAATGTGCGACCACTCTTTCTGTGAGGAATTCCTTTCTGATGTCCAGCCTAAACCACCCCTGTCGCAGCTTAAGGCTGTCCGCTCGTCCTGTCGCGGGTTCCCAGCAGCAGAGCTGGCTGCACCCCGCTGCAGGGAGCTATTTGTACAGATCCCTCCCCACACAAACAGCGGCCCGCGCCGAGGCTGCCGCGGTACACCGAGACAGGCGCCGGTGCCTCACCTGCCCGCGGGTGCCCGAGAGAGCGCGGCCAGCCGGGCCGGGCCGGGCCAGCGCTGAAGGGCGCAGCACGGACGGCATGAGGGGAGCGGGGCCGGGAGAACGCCGCCGGTCCGCCCCGCCCGAGGCACCGGAGGCTTCTGAGGGCCGGGCCACAGCGGGCGGCTCCTGGAGTCCAGGACTCCGCAATATCCCGCCCACTCATTGGCTCCGAGCAGCGGTTCGGCGCCGCCAGCCAATCACAAGCAGGTTTGCAGCCGCCGACAGCCAGCGCCCCGACTGCATGTCCCAGCATGCACCGGGATCCTCACGAACGCGCGCTTTGCTGATTATCGCAGCGAGCTGGGAATTCATTCATTCATTCCGCAGGATTTGCCTTAAAACCCCTCACTGAAACCACATATTGTAGGTTATTACCCGCCCTTTGTACTTGTGTGGCATTTCCAGGGACGTGGTGAAACTTGTGCTTTGCGTGTCACAGTGAAATTTGCTGTTAAGGTATCTAACATCGTTATACAGTTGTAATACAATTACATAGCTATTGAGCTTATACCATGGATATTTTTTGTTTTGCCTAGTTATTTGTTTTTCTGGGTTAGTTTTCTAGCACTTTCTACTGATATCATTCTGCTGTAAGCCTTAAACTTGAATTTAAGGTTCTTAAAACTTTCCCTTGCTATCTCTAAAACCCTGGCTGACAGATATGCACAGCAATATACTCCAATTATATATTTTGATTAAAATTCCAGATCAGAGTTATGAAATACAACTTGATAACAAAATGCATCTGGCAACCCACAAGATTATTTAGATTGTTTACCACTGAGGAAAATGAATGATCAGAGAAGCCCACGGACTGGGATGATTGAATCTGAATTTATTATCTAAATGACCAAACTGATGATCTAAATCAGACCTGAGGTAAATTGCTCTCCTTACTCTGTGTTAGTGGATTATTTAATTTATTTTTAATATGGTTGAACTGTGCTCTGGTTTTGCTTTCTTAATTTTCCTTTCTTAATTTCCCTGTGCCTTGTAAAGGATTGGGATGAACCTGAACCCATGGTGGAACTAGTGCTGAGGACCTGAATTTCGGGATGAAGAATAATAATAATGCAGCCTGGTATGATGCTGTAGTATAATTATAAATAATTTCCTTCTCCTAGCTAGGGGAACACCTTGAGCCACTTTCTTTGCCTGACTGTATTCCAAACACGTAGTTCATCCTAGGGGAGATGGAAACCAAATTGGATGGGTAACCCGATCTGTTCTCTTAAGAGAACAGACTTCCTGGGTTTTTTTCTGTTTTCCTTCCAAAGTGACGGAGGAAGGCACAATTTTTTTACAGTTTCTGAAGAACAGATGCTGAGGTTTATGCAAAATATTTTGGATGTAGAACATGGGGAGAAATGAACATGAAATTCCCATGGGTGTTTTCATTCTTTATGTCCACATTTTAAAGATTCTTTGTCTAATCTGATTGAGAAACTATTGGTTTCATACATTTCATACAAATGAAATTAGAATCCCATGGCCCTGAAAGGGAAATGAAGTAGGTTGAGGAATAGCAGGAGAGAGAAAGGACAATGGAGGAAAAGTACTTTGAGCAATAGTTTAAGAAAAAAAATTAGAAAGCAAAGATGATTCAGGAAGGGACAGAGCAATGGGGAATGATATTTACAATATATATTACAGAGAGGAATCCTGCCTGTCAGTGTCTGCAGGGAAGGGTCAGAGCATGGACCTGGGGGCCCAGCAATGGCACAAGCAGCAGCAGGCACAAACCACCTGAATATGAGAAAAACTTCTTTACTGCGCAGCGACCGAGCGCTGGAGCAGACCGCAATCCTAGCTGGAGATATTCCAGAGCCGTGTGGGCACGGTGCTGTGCCGTGAGCTCTGGGATGGCGGCCCTCTGCCTTCACCCAAACCTCGCTCCTCCTGTGGGATGTGGCTGTGAGCTGGTGGCGAAGCCCCGACACTGGCGGTGTTCAAGGAGCGACAGGACGTGCTGCGATCTGCTTGACACGGCGGTCATCTCTCAAGGCTTCGATGACCTCGGAAGTCCCTTCCGTTCTAAATGAGCGGCTGACTCCGCGCAGCGGCAACAGCCGCCGAGCAGCGCCGGCCGGGCCGCCTCACAGCCGTGGCCGGCGGCTCTCGAGCACCTCCTGAGGCGAGCAGCTCCGGCCGGACCCCCACACCACCGCTGCTGGGGCTCTCGAGCACCGCCTCAGCCACCGAGCAGCTCCGGCCGGGCCCCCTCACAGCCGTGGCCGGAGGCTCTCGAGCACCGCCTCAGCCGCCTCAGCGCCGGCCGGGCCCCCACCCGGCCGCTGGCTCTCGAGCACCGCCTCAGGCGAGCAGCCCCGGCCGGGCCCCCACACCGCCGTGGCCGGCGGCTCTCGAGCACCGCCTCAGCCGCCTCAGCGCCGGCCGGGCCCCCACACGGCCGCTGGCTCTCGAGCAGCGCCGGCCGGGCCCCCACACGGCCGCCGGCTCTCGAGCACCGCCTCAGCCGCCGCCTCCCCGGCCCGGCCCGGCCGCCGCCCGCCCCTCGCTCCGCCCCGGCCGCGGCCCGACCCAGCGGGAGGAAGATGGCGGCGCTCATCCCCCTCAGCCAGCAGGTACCGGCGCTGCTGGGGACGCGCGGCCCTCCGCACCGGGCGCGGCGAGCGCGGCAGCGGGGCCGCATCGTAGCCCGGTGCAGCCGGGCTGGATTTGGCGCTGCGTACAGGCCCCGTGCCGGGAAGGGCTCGGCCCGCGGGGAATTAAGGGTCGGGGCGCGGCGGGGAGCGGGAGCCGGGCGGGGCAAGGGCGGCGAGCGGCCCCCGCTGTGCCCCGGGCCCGGGCCCTCCCCTCATGGAGGCCCTGGAGCCGCTGCGTCCCTGGGGAGGGGCTGAGGGTCTCCTGGCGCTTCCCCACGCCGAGCCGCCGGGATTACCGCGGGCCAGGGGCTGGGAGGCAGGAGGGCTGGTGCTCCGCCGTCAGCCCGTTCTCCTGCTGGTGCCGGGGCGGTGATGCCGCCTGGAAGTGCCGAGCTGTTGTGGCGGGCTGCCGTGACCGTGTGCGGCGTTCAGGGGCTGCTGGGCAGCGGGGACACCGGGAAGGGGCTGGGGGATGAGCAGGAGGTGTTCGCCTGTCAGGAGGAGCAGAAGCTTCTGCAGGGCAGGGCGCTTAGCCCTGACCCCTGGGAGAGGCTGTTTCCAGCTCTGGTTGAATGCTTGGGATCCCGGGGTTCATTTCTGTTGTTACAAGCTTTTTTTTAATTTGATTTCTCACCCAAATAATTCAAGCCTGAGCAGTGTGATCACTGTTTATTATTTTCCATAGCCATGTGAAGAGAGTCAGTTTACTTATTTGCTTTAAAGCAGAAAAGCAACACCACCCCACTACCTTCAATGTCTTGAAACCAAAACTATTTTCTATACTGTGCCTAGGCCAGTCAGGCATTCTGAGTGACTCATATTAGTAGTTCAGATTAATTAAATATGTCAGTTTCCTTTTAGTAATGATCTTTGAGTTGTGATACTCTAAAAATTTATCTCTCAGTGGAGTTATGTGATGCTTGGATAACATAACTTGCTGTGTGTCTTACCAAGAACATGTACTGCTGTTTAGATTCTGTGTAGCAAGTCCTGATCAACATCAGTTTGATTAAGTGAGCATATTCAGAAACACCTGAGAACATCCATGTGCACACAAACTGTTATCAAAATTTTTCAAGTGATTAATGTGGTGCAAAATATGTAAGTCAAATAAACTCTGGATGTGAAAGGGTTTGTAGTTGTGAAACTTCTGTAATACATTATAGAAAAAGGTAAAAATCAAATAATTATCAAATACTTCCTCTAGAAATCCAGTTTCTCTATTGTTTAAATTCTCATTGATCTTTGAGAGACTGGCATCAATGGTATTCTTTTTGGTAGAAAATGTTATGTTTAGGGGGACTAAGACCACATTCTGTAAACATATACATTATTTTTATATAGTATTTTCCAGCTAATTCAGTGGAAGCATTGTAGTTCTAAAACTTGTTTTCATATATTGAACTGTCAAGAGTAATCTAGCTGTAAATAGAATTCCCTTTAAAGTAATAAACTTCCTCTTCTATTAGCCTCAGTTTTGTAATTACTAAGGAGATGTGTGTTAATTAGAGTAAATGCCAGAAATGGAATTAGACAGAGTAGGAGAGGGTACGTGTGTTGTAAAGCTGAGGCATGTCCACTCAGAAAGCTGTGAAATAAGACAACATATTAAGAGCTGCAAACAGTATGGGTAATTCAAGCAGCTTAAAATATTTTCTCATGAATCATTTATCCTAATAATAATTTATTTTAATTAATCAATGTGATCCAGAGGCCTTTGTGACCCCGAGATGACTTCAGGAAAGAGAGTGAACTGTTCTGGTGGCAGGTTCTTACTCGTGCCCTTTTGCCAGAGCTGCATGGAGGATCTTGGAGCAATATCCATCCAAACACAGTGTGCAGGCTCAAGGCTTCACCTTCTGAACAGGAGGTCAGCTTGGAAATTAAACAGCAAGGCACCAGGGCTCTGAAGGGTCTGTGGGGTTGGTCAGAGGTGATGTTTTGGGGAGTGCAGAGCAGGCATAGGAGCCACGGGGTGGATAAACTGTTAGTCAGACTGAACCTCTCTAACAGGTTATGCTTCGATGTCGTCAACAGTGCACTCTTCAAAATTGTTGTCCCTGCCAGTGCTGACAGTCTTGGGTTGGTCCTTCATGAGCAGATGTCACCAAATTACAGAATCCTCTTGAATGATGGTGGTGCCGTCACATGTGGTGGCGGGTAGATAGAGAGCTGTGCTATTTTTGTCACTTGAACCCATTTTGTCTGGTCTGCTTCATCACAGAGATGCAGTCATTTAGGTAAATCGGTCAGAAAGACTGAATCTTTGTAAAATTCTGCAAGTAGAGAATTGATCTTGAGGTGCTTTTCAGCAGTGCTTGGGTGAATAATTTGCTGTAGAAGAAATTTCGTAGCATTGAGGCACATCACTGGCTCCCTGCCACCTCTGCCAGGTAAGTCAGCTCCACGTCATGGCTGACAATACCAAATGGGGGTGACAGGAATGCCTGGTGATGGGGTGAGATCATTCAGTCCTGCTGCTGGAGCAGTTTGCTCCCTGTCT